AATGAAATGTACAGGTTCGCCTCTCCTGGAAACTTCGAGCTCATAATACCCATGGGAATAACGTTACAAGCCTGCATTTTACGACAGGTGCCACAAAAATACTTTCTTTCATGAATATATTCTTGATAATATGATGGAAATGGCATTCTGTATATTCTTACAACCCAACAATTTTAGACAAAATATGACAACAATATAACATATGAAAAGCGTGTGTGTCTCTGGATAATTAATTTTCCTCGCGTCCCTCGCCTGCGCCGCAAAAACAGGCATGCTTTGAGGTGCAATTTTGGTCTCTTTTGACCAAAATGACACGTACGAATGTGATCAACAACTAGTCGCTAGCCTTAACCTCAGTTGCTGGAAAATGGCTGTACAAAAATAACTACTTACATAATATTTGTGGGGTAAACAAACTCTTTTTAAAACATACTGTATATAAGCTAAGAATAAACAACCTTATTAGCTCTACCAAGATACGACAAAATATATTTGTTTAAAACAAAACAAAACAAAACAAAAAACATATACTGTATGCAGGTACTGAAAAAAAAATCTTATCGATACGACTCTGAATCGAACGGGTTTGGAAATTACCGACAAGCTCAGGAGGCATTTATTGCAGAGAGAAGTAAGGTGGCTGGTTTACACGGAGATAAAGGGCCTTGGCATTCATTCCTTGGGGTTAGAAGGTTTCTTGGAAGCCACGTTTGCCATCCGCAGCTAAAGCCCGAGATTGTGATCTTTTCCAATAACCTCGAAATCAATGGATTAAACATTTCATAGAGTACAGTTTTCGGCAATACACGTGGCTAAATGTGGACCGCGTGGAAAAAAGGATAAAATAAAATAAATATTTGGATATACCCTAATCCCCGTCACAAGGGAAAGAAAGATAGAAAGGCAAAAGTAAAGAAAGAAGGGCAAAAGTAAATTCGTAACAGGTTACATCAGCGCTTATGTCTAACACCATTCATTCGCCGATGCAATCATGACTAAGTGAAGAATAGGACCTTGCCGCTTTTTTTTTCTCTCTAACAATGGGTAATTAGGCAAAATCATCTAATCATTCATATTGAGCACGCTTTCCTGGGCATTACTGACTTCCGGCCAGTGAGTGACGAAGCCGTTTTCCTCTTAATGGTACTTTGCCCAGCGACACCTACTTTGGAAAGACCAATAACGAACAATCTGGGATCTACACTGTATGTCTTGACGTAATTGCAATGACCTTCGAGGTTTCACGCCTTTTTTCCCAATAAACGTTGGGTAATGGAAACGTAAACAGTCATGATTTGCGTTTGTTATGATTTTAGGCTGATGAAATTCAGGTCCGGATTTAATAGGGGAAGGCTAAAAGGGGGTAAAGGCTGGTACCCCCCACAAAGAAATCATAAATCCTTTCTGATAAAAAAAAGAAGAAAAAAAAAACTTTAGAGAAACTTTATCAATATTTTTTTCTATTAATAATTATTTTATAATATTTTCTTAATGATTCTAACTTCGGAAGTTATACTAGATTAAGAACTTAGATTATTCAAAGTCATTTTCTATCATGGCATGTTATGATCAGCTGTTCGTAGCAGCACAACACAGCTGATCGGCCACACACACACGCCCTCCGACCTCAGGAATTTGTCAACCGAGTGAGAATGAGAGAAAATTAACCCCGTTTTGTCTGAGAATTTCTATCCGTGAGAATAAAGAATGAGTCGACCATTTTCAATTCGATAAATAAGAAAAACGCGACATAAAGATAGATCTGCAGCCTTGATTCCCCCACGCACGAACAGCGGTCTCCACTCTTCGTCATTGTCACCGTGACCCAGAAGTCTTACGTTCCCAAAAGTGACATGTACTCTTGAGTGTCAGTACGCCGGCGAGAGATCCTTGTTCGGCGAGTTCCATAGAGCCTCAAACAAGACCCACGAGCGACGTGCATTGCTATCACCACCGACCATTCCTCCCTGTCATTCCTAGCGGCTGACATGAAATACCACCGCGAGGAATAAACAAAGTGGACCCGGGGTCAGTGACATGGACATGCCACCGCATTCACCTGGGTCGCTCTTATTACTCACCCAACCATTCGTGAAGGTGTCATGCACCAACAGGTCCATGAATCATGACAGGTAATGTGATCCCGTAATTATCATAATGAGGAGAGGCATAAACAAAGTCGGAAGAGGAAGGCTGCATCGCGTGTGACCATCGATCGAGTGGATAGGGCGGGGGACGGGGGGGGGGGGGGATTTCACTGCCGCACTAAACATAAACGATAGATGTTGAAGCATTAAGGAGCTAAAAGGCTATTTATATTGGATGTGCTGACGAGATTGAGCGGATACCCCCCCCCCCTCTCTCTCTCTCTCTCTCTCTCTCTCTCTCTCTCTCTCTCTCTCTCTCTCTCTCTCTCTCTCCTCCCCCTTTGTGTGTGTGTGTGTGGGGGGGGATGTGCGTGTGCGTGTATGTTTGTGTGCGTGTATGCATGTGCGTGTGTGTGTGTGTGCGCGCGCGCGTATGGGGGTGCGTAGATGTGTTATATTAAATATATATAAATATATATATATAAACAAACAAATATTTATAAATAAATATATATACAAATAAATATATATGTATGTATATATACATATATATATGTATTATATACATATGTATATATATATGCACATATATATACAAATATATATGCAAATATACATATACATATAAATATATATAAATATATATACAAATATATAGATATATATAAATAAATAAACAAATAAATAAATAGATATATATATGCATATATATATATATATATATATATATATATATATATATATATATAAATATATATATATATATTATATAAATATTATATATATATATATATATTATATATATATATTATATATATATATATATATATATATATATATATATATATATATATATATATATATATATATATACATATATACACACACATAATGACATCACGCTTTTGCGGTAGAGTTATATCGACTTTCTAATGACGGTGTTGCTTAGTTAATGTCTTGACAGACACGCCAGCACACAACGACACATACACAGAGTACAAACAACGCTCACTCCCAGCCCCGCGCGGGTTAATCGCACCCAAGCAAGCCTGTTAAACACTATATCCGTTTCCCTGCACAAGGAGCCACGAACCGACCTGTAAAAATGGAGAAGCACGGAATTACGCCGCCATATGTCACGCGGTCGCACAGGAAATCAAACGTTTTGTCTGAAAGTGAACGCACACGAGTCTTCACTTTCACCCCCCCACCACCACCCTCTCCTAACCCCCCACAACCCACCTAACCCACTCAACCCACCCAGCACCCACCCAAGCCTTCCCGTTGAGTTATTCTTCCCAGAGCCAGGGACTCCGCCACTCTCGGCTGACCACAAGTCGAGAAATATTTTTTTCTCTCTCTTAAACAAGTATATAGAAATTAACCAACAATGTCGGGTTGCTATATTTAGCTACATTGCAACGAAGCGACATGTGTTGGTTTTCATGTAGGCTTTGATTTTCTCCTGGTTCTCTTAAACATCATAAAAAGCGAATACTAAAACCCTCTCTCTTCTTGTTACTGATTCTCCGAGAGTTTTACGTGAGAAGAGTCGCCCAGGATGTTTACACTCTGAGAACGACTTGGGTTCTGAAGTATGTGAAGGAGAGGGAGGGAGGGAGGGGAGAAGAGGAAGAGGAAGAAGCAGAGGGGGGAAGAGAGAGAGAGAGAGAGAGAGAGAGAGAGAGAGAGAGAGAGAGAGAGAGAGAGAGAGAGAGAGAGAGAGAGAGAGAGACAGAGACAGAGACAGAGACAGAGACAGAGAGAGAGAGAGAGAGAAAGAGAAAGAGAGAGAGAGAGAAAGAGAGAGAGAAAGAGAAAGAGAAAGAGAGAGAGAGAGAGAGAAAGAGAAAGAGAAAGAGAGAGAGAGAAAGAGGGAGGGAGAGAGAGAGAGAGAGAGAGAGAGAGAGAGAGAGAGAGAGAGAGAGAGAGAGAGAGAGAGAGAGAGAGAGAGAGAGAGAGAGACAGGAAGAGAGACAGAAACAGAGTCAGAGAGAGAGAAAAAATAATAAGACACACTGTAGGAAGGAAAAGCAAAGGAATAGACTTAATTACGAAACCACCCAGTAAACAAGTGGCGTTTGTGCAATCGATGAAAAGAACTCCTTTGTACATCGCGGTGAGACTCGAGGTATAACAGCTGTTCCAGGGTTTGCCAGTGTTACGTCACTCTCGCACACGCCATATGATCTGCTGCACACAGGACGACAACAAAGCGCAACCAGGGCTGCCAACATATGCCAGTTGCACCATGTTGCGGAGGCGGAAAAGATGAACAGAATAGCCCGTTCCCCGTCTTTGTCGGTTTTCTGGGAACGATCAGACAGATCTTTATAGTGACTTGTCTTGAATTATAACCTCTACAGACAAAGATATCGGTGCGCGGTTGATGATCGCAGCAAATGTGTGTATCAATTTTACAAACAAATACACACGCATATATGGTATTTCTACATGTTCTGGAATACCTAATGTTGCTTCCAAATATAATCAATACAGTCAACAGGATATGTACCTTCAAGGATGTTACGGACTAAAAATAAAATCACCCGAGCTGTTAGTTGGAAAATGCGTATGCAGATATACGTACGACCAGAGCAATATCCTTTGTCATCACAAAGAGTTGACTCACAACTATACAAATACAGTTCTAAAAACCAAGTATAAAGATCCCTTCAAAAATAACAATTCAGCTGCAAGAACGACTATGCAACTACGTAACTAATGAACTCATGCATATTTATAAAAGCTCATTATCCCCTAAACAAGGAAAATTTAAAGTCGCACACACGAGAACACGACAAAAACACGCACTCAATTCGTGAAGGGAATTTAAGAGGGCAAAACCGAATACTAAAACTTAGTATCATTTAAAATCCAAGACAAAAGATAAACTAATAAATGACAACATACTTAAACTGTTGTTTTCCTTAGCGTCATTGCACCTGTTCACCACCTTGATGACTGCACGACCTGCCATCCGCGTTTGGACGACCTGGGACTGTCGCAGAATCGTGTTTGTCAAGTCGTTTCCGAACTTTGGCTTCATCTTCTCTGATATTAAGTTCTTGGTTCACAAAAGAAGTTTCACTCTATTCGAGGTTCGTAGACTACTCTGTCCGACAGTGTTTTGCTTGTTAATGCGAGTTCGTTCTCGGTTTTA